TATTTTCAAATATTTACAAATATTTGCACATATCTTATCCGTCTTGATTAATACAAATAATCTTAAAATTTTGATATAAATTTGTTTTTAAAAATATTTTTATATGATATATAAATAAAAATTAAAACAAGTAATGAAACTACATATTTTGTAAATTTTAAACTTAGTTAACAATTATAATAACACAAAACTTAAGAAAAAAATATAATTTTCATAAATGTTTTCTTTTCTTTTTAATGTAATATTTTTATATAAGTAATAATGTGAACAGAATTTATAACCATATGTTAGAGTAATAATTATATAAATGTATACATATAAAACTTTAAATATAGTCAAGATATACCTGTATTTATATTTTGATCGAAGCGGATATCCACTTTTCAAAATTTTAATATTTGTGATCTCGTTCAATTTTAACGAATATTGATTTTTAGTATCTGCTTTGCTTCAAAAGTTTACGGGTATCCACAATTTTGGATCAAATCAAAACGAATAACAAATCAAATCAAATTTAACAGATAAAATGCCAGCCCTAACTACAACTCCACTACCACCTTGAGATTGAAGGGGTGTATAGAAGGATCTTGGAGATCATAAATATTAATGTCGATATCTATTTTATTAAATCGGAAACATTAGGTTGTACCTAACATTTATTTTGTAAGTTTTTAATTAAATACATATTCTACTTTATAGTTGAACCTACATTAAGTCACTAATATTCATTTCTTTATATTACTATCCATGTTTCCAAACAATATACTCATTTTTTATTCTACTATCTATGTTTCCAAACAACACTATAATTAATCTTATGTCCAAACAATATTCTCATTTCTTTATATTACTATTCATGTTTCCAAACAACAGTATAATTAAACTTATGTCTAAACAATACAAAATATTAGATTTTACCTTTTTAAAATTTCTCACAATTTTTTCAAATTATTTAGATAAATTAAAAAATCCAAATAATATATAAAAGGATGAAAATAAACTTTTTTACATGTTTAAATAGTACATATCAGTTATCCGTTGGTTCAATCGGTTATTCTCGGGTTTTAGTGATTTTTTAAATATGGATATTTTTAAAAAATCAAAATTGAATTCTTGGAACACCGGTTTAACCACGGTTTACGTTGAATTTAAAAAATACTGATTTAGATGCAAAAATATTTTAGATACATAAATTCTTTCAAATTACCAAAATATTTATTAAGTTATTTATGAAATTTCCATCATAAATTATTATGTGCTTGCAAAGTTAGGACTAAAGTTAAGTTTGAATTTAACCTAACCTATAAAATAAAGGTTAAGGCTAAAAATTCTAGAAATTTATATATTATCTTAAAAACTTTGTATAATTATTAACATCACAAGTAACTAAATTATCATCTTATTTTTTTAACGCAAACAGTTAAGTTTGAATTTGATTATGGACTTCGAACAAACATACAACATTAATGTTTTCACTACACGACATAATACACTGTATGACGCTATTAATATTAAAAAAAAGTTTTGATATTGTTCATAAACAGAAAATTGAATTAAACAAACTCGGAACTATATAAAACTAAATTAAATAAAATACATCCGGAAAATAAAATCTGTGCATCCGATTTAGTTTTATATTTATTATGTATACAAAAAAAACACTTTTTATATTGTTCATAAAACAAACTGAATCGAACAAACTCGAAACTATATAAAACTAAATTATATAAAATACATCCGGAAAATAAAATCCGCGCGGGTGCGCGGATCATGATATAGTTGTATATTTACTATGTAAGATATTAACATATATTTGTATTTATCTAGTTTAGGAAACATTTCTAGTATCTAATTATATAAAACTAGAGTAAACCCGCCCTACGGGGGGGGCGAATAAATAAATTATTAATATAAATTTATTTTAAATGTTTGATGTTAACTAAAAGTAGATTGACATTTATAAATTTCTTACAACAATTTAAGTATTTATTTTACTATAACCATATTATATAATTATTTTTTTTAACTATAAGAATAAGTCACATAGATTTTTATAAACCGGATTAAGTTTAGTGAAGTTATTTTCCTCGGTATATACTTTCTATGAATTAAATTATTTTTACACATTGTTTCTTAAAATAATGATATACACAATATAAAAGAAGTAACTTATTCATTATAGCTAAAAATATTTTAAGATAGATAATATGAAAATATCATTCATATAATTTACACATATACATGTGTGTCAGAATCTCATAGGTATTATTATTATATATTAGCATAATTGATTAGAATTTTCAAATAAATACTACTGACTCATATATTTTTCTATATTAATTTTGTTTTTATATTCCTCTGTTTTCCAAGAAGGCAAATACTGAGTCTCATAATGACTCCTTATTTTCTATGGGAATGGTAGTTTTTTAACTCATTTCCACCAAATGTGTGTATAGTATTGGCGAACCAAGCCTCGGGTACGTAAACTCACTTCCAATGCCCTCAAATCATCGTTGTGGATAGAATGATCTTTGCCTTCAAAGATCCCAACGTAAGCTTATGTTTCCTCTTCACCGTCTCTTCTCCAAACCCCCCACTCCAAGGAACCTGACCCATCTTATCCTCCGGATCCTTAGTTTCATCACTCGCTTAAGTCCTCAATTGAACATTCAACAAAACATCAAGAGAATGCATCATCACCCCTGGTCATTCGTTCAAGGGTGAAAAGGTTGATGCTTAAGACATTGTTTTTCTTGTTCAGAACTAACCATAGTACTGATTTTTTTTTTGTGATTATTTTTGGGGCTATGCAGTAATGTAAGCAATTCAAATCTTTCTTACAAAAACAAAGTTGATATAAGAAAACAATGTTACATTCAAATCTTTCTTACAACAACAAAATTGATTTAAGAAACTATGCTGCATCCGATTACACTGAAACAATCTTATTTTGGTTCAAGAGTTGCAAAAAGTTAAAACTCTGGGTTTAGGTTTACACGCTTTTGGATTTGTTCACATTTATCGGGTCCGCATGTGTTTTTGTGTACTGGTGGATTCTCTTGGAATTAGACATAATCTGCTCAAACAAAAGTGTTGGATTTTGGTTAGACATCACTAACGTAAACATGGATTGCTGCAGCAAATCTTAACCAAACATTGATTTTGATTAGTTAATCGTGAAGACATCTTGAAATTCAAAGTTTATTTCAGTACCTGTCCTGCTACACAATCTGTGAGAATGTTCTGGATCGCAGGGTCTTGTATTACTCTAGACTCAGCGTGGAAGAAGGAAAAAAAAAAGCTTAGCTCACTCGTTCTCTCTGAATCGTAAAAAAAGATGTAACAGTGAAGCCTTTCTTCTGAAACACAAAAGAGATTAGAGTGGACTTACTTTCGAGTATTTTGGATTTCTTTGTAGCGCTTTAAATATGGGATGAAAATGCTCTTTATGCTCCATCTCCTTCTTGACTCACTCAGACTCATTCAGCGTCAGGTGTCTGAGTTATGGTGCTCCCGCAGAAGAGTTTTCTGATAAGTCTCGGTCACATATTCATAGTCTTTTGAGTGAAACTTTTGCCATCTTGTAATCTACATAAGCTTTCTACGTCTTCTAACGACGTTATCATAATCCTTGATGCACTAATCATACTGTACCAAACACATTTACATTAGACTGAACCTCGTGCCAAGCAACTCACTATAGACTAATACACATAAAAACTATACCTTGATGCCTTCACCATATTGCATCAAACATGATCATGTTTAGACTCAACCACATACCAAGGGAAGCAATATAGACTAATATACATAAACACTAAACATTGATGCACTCATAAAACTGAATCAATCATGATCACATTTAGATTCAACCATGTACAAATCAGAGGAAGAGAGAAGAGTAAGACAATCTGATTGCTGATAGTTTAGAAAAGCTAAAGATTGAGAGGATTGTAGTGATGAATTTGGACTTACTTATTTATAATCGAAGATTCTCACAAACAATAAGGAAGTAACGGGAGATGAATTAAATAATAGATGGTGAGAGTAGTGGAAAGCAGATGCTAATGGTTATGTTACATACTACGATTGGATTAAATCTTCTTTCGTAACGTAACATCCGACGATTGGATTCTGATGGAGTATGTTGGTGGCGAAGAATTTTAATAGAGAAGACGGAGATATCAGAGAGTCGGAGAGGATGATATTGTTCATCTCTATACGGCATAAGTAGTTTAATCAGGCCCAATAACTACAAACTCAACAATAAGCCCAGATTTAATCCGAAGTTGCGAATGAATTTTTCGTAAGACTTTAGAGACGCCAGATGTCACGATTACATTAACCTAATTGATGACGTGGATGAATAGGAGGGATAAAAACCCTTCTTTATATATATAGATAGATAGACTTCTCTACTTATAAGATAAACCACGTCACTAATTAATTGTAGGAAAACGGGACACGTGTCCACTAAACCTATACGGTGCGTTTAAATTATTCTGGTGGATGTTGTATTTAGGTTTGCGATTGCATTCATGTCATTATTTTGCTATTTGAAGCCCAAATTATAGGGTAAGCTGAAATGAACAAAACGCGTTGTTTTAACTTTTTTTTTCATCCAGTTCCTTCTGCACCACTGTGAAATCGAACGAGACTCTAGGGTTTACGATCCTGTTGTTTCATCTTTTTCCTAACGATCCAGGAATCCACCAGTTACAGATTCATCCTAAGTCGTTCTTCAATCCATCATTCCAGGATGTACCTTAAATGCGGCCTTCGCTTTTGAGAGGCGGTGGATATTCAAATATAAAAAGGCTAGCATCCTTACTCTCAAAATCATTTTTGATTTCATCTTCTCAACCGTTGGAAATGCTTTGACTGCCGCAGCCGCAGATCGCCTCAGATATGTCAGCATGCAAAAGATGGATATTGCGATCGTTCGAGCCCCTGTCTCAACGGCCACAACATGGGATTCTAACCACTAGACTACAGCCACTATGGTTGATACTCTTCTCGGGATTCTTATTGTATAAACATAAACATATTAAGAAATTTTAACATTACAGGAGTCAGTTGCGATATCATGTTCTTAGAGTCGTATTTTGTTGGGGATAGAAATTTTCAGAAACGTGCAGTCTTGGTTGGTTGTGCTCTGCTATGAGGGATCTTAATCATCAAATCAGTCTGATCAGTCGCATTTAAACCATAAGTGGAAGTTTCTCAAGCATTTAGATATTCACAGTATGTTGTTTGCTATCAGAGAAATAGTGCTCAGTATATGTTTTTCTAAATCTGGAACTAGGTATGCAGCTCTGTATGTTTCTGATCCTTATTAGTACAGTTCATACCAACATTCAACAAAACGTTTTGGCCAAGGCCTCCACAGTTAAACCTGCTACAAGCGTATCTTACTGGTAAATTATCACTCTATAAATCTTAAGCAGTTTTTCTTCCCATATACATTCGTTAATGCTTTGATTAATTGATATGTCTCTAGCTTGAAGATTTTGTTTCCTCATATAGTTTTTCATCACATTTAAATTTAGAATATAAATGGGTCCAATATTCTAGACAGTCAAAGAGTTCAATCGCATAATAATAGTAATAGTCAAGAAAGATTTGCCAAACCGTGGGTTTATTATATAGAATTAAAAGTCTTTCCCCTGAATCTCCATGTGGTTTTTCTGTTTATCAATGAATTTTCAATTTTCTCTGTTTGGACCGCAAAAGTTTTAACCTTTTGGTATTGAATTAGCAGTTTCAGTCAGTAAAGTTGAAGCACTGTATGAGTTATTTCAAAACCTAAGCTGTTCAATCATTGATGAGGCTGAAGTCAGAAGGTCTGCTCTTTTCAAAGCTAATATTTTTGAAGTTGATCGATCTTCTCAAAGGATATTTTTATTATTTTGTTTGTAGGAAGAGCTTCAGCTAGCGCTTTTCCAAGTTCCAGATGGCGAGAACCTCTTTCTTCATAGGGTGAGCGTGTTCCCTTGAGAGACTATAAATAGCTTTTTTCAATGGTTTCTTGGACCTTTTGAGATGAATGTGTAGGTTAGGTTTCTGATTTTTTCGATGAAAAGAAGAATGGGCTTATAGAGTTTGAAGAGTTTATCCATGCCTTGAGTGTGTTTCATCCCTATGAACCAATCGAAGAGAAGATTGACTGTAAGGATCATAGCATGCAACTATTCAATGTTCTGCTAATAATATACAGTCTCAAGCATATGTTTCTGATCTGTGGCAGTTCCGTTTAGGCTCTATGATCTAAGACAAACCGGATTTATTGAGTGAGAATAGGTAGATAATCTGCCATTGCAACTTGAAACTGTGTGTTTGAGGTTTATAGTAAGTTGATGTTGTTAATGTTTAGGTGCACCAAATGGTGGCTGCTATTCTTATGGGATCTGAAATTTGGTGTCTCAGTTAATTAGAAGATTAGCTATTCACATTTTGTATCTTTAATTTGGTATTTGCTAGACATTTGCTGATGCAGGTTCTGACAAAGACATAAAATAAGTAAGGAGGAATGGAAATACTGAGGATAGTTGATGTAAGATTTGAAGATTACCTAGTATATACGCACATTGTTTTTTCAAAAATTATTATTTGAAGATCACATTCAGATTTTAGATATATAGTTTTAACAAGTACACTATAACACGAACTAGAATGGTCAAACTTTATTCAAGCGATTCTCTTTTTAAGCAAGATATTATCACCCATAATTAAAAACATATGTACGCTAATGTTTACGCTTTCAGTTTTCAATTTATGCAAATATATACTCCGCAAAATTTTCTATAGAAAATATGGATGTAGATGTCCCTGTTGATAATGTTCCTTCCAAAATAGTTGAATAGGGTATTTTTGTATCTTAATTGTTTGGTCCCATCCTTACATCAATGTGTATACAAGAAAATACCTCTTAAATTGTCATCATCCTGAATATTATATCTGGACTGGGCAATGGTAGGCCGTAGTACAAGTAATAAATTTCTTGGTCACTATTCCTACAGTACCTTCTATGTGTCAATGTTCAACCTTTTCCACGACATGTGCCTGGTGTGCACGCCCACATTGTTAATAAAAATATAGGGAAAATTGTCAAATATGACTCAAGACTTGATTTGAAATGCAAAAGTAAACCCAAACTTAAATCAAATGCAAAAACAACTTAAAAGGCTGTTGAAATTACAACCAACCCCTTGTGAACAAACAAAAAAAGAGTTTTTTTTTTACGTTTTTAGCCCTCGCAAGTCGTCTAGGACAGTTTTTCTTAAAAATAATTTAAAAATTGTGTAATAAATATTTTGATAAATGAAAAATTGGAATTATGTAATTAACATATGTCTTAAGAGATATAAATTAATATATAACAAAATTCAGTTGTTTTCAGCATAGATGAGTGAAAGTAGTGAGTCATGATATTCTTTGGTTTAGGTTTCACCAACATATGTTGTAGT